ATTTACATTAATCACTATAGATCAATCAATACGTTCATGTAACAATATGCGGATTGCCATCTTCGAGCTATCCGTATTCTCAAGTATGCCCGGTGACATGCAAATTTCTTTGCACCAATCGATCAAGCGGAATGTCTACATTCAGAAAAATATATATTGTGCCGAGCGATTTTGCTTTCTTGAGCAGTTATAGCTATTTTCTTAGATCTATCTCAAGGCTATGCGGGTGCCACCTTCAAACCTGCCGTACCCTCAACTTTGCCCAGTAACATATGAATTTATTTGCACCAATCGATCCAGCGGAATCTCTCCATTCAGGAAAACATATATTGTGCTGAGCGATTTAGCTTTCTTGAGCAATTACAGCTATTTTTTTTTGAGGTATCCCAACTAGCGCAAAGACGCTCATTCGCATACATTGTATCACTATAGATCAATACATACATTAGTATGGCGCTAAAGGGGTTACCATATTCAAGGTAACGGTTCTCTCCGGTTTTCCTAGTCATATATATTTTGTAGGGCAAAGTAAAGTATCTATTTTGTAGCGCAATTCTGCTCACTTTCTGAGGAACAGCCGATTTTCTGAAGTTGTCTCAGTTGCTCGGCTTCGCTCATTTCAGTACACTGTATCTATATTGATCATTCATTAGCATGGCTGTTTGAGGGTCTTTATTTTCAAATAGTCGATCTTCTCAGGTTTATGTGCTCAAATCAAATCAAGTATTGAAATTCGATCGTTTGATTGAAGGTGAATCCGAACAGGATGTGACGATGGAAGTCATGAACAATATGAAGTATTATAACAGTGCATTTGTGAAACTAGTAGAATATCACAGAGTGTGGTCTATTTTGAAAGGAAAATCACAGACGAGATTGATATTTCCATGTAGGTTTTGTCTGATGTGCTGTGATACAGATTTTAATTGGATATTGATAATGACGAATTGAATATTATTGAAGCATTTTCAACACAGCCCTAATCCAGCATCCAAATAGCACATTGGAACATATTTGCTCCTATATGGTGTTCTCATACTTTTTATTCACATCTTAGAAATCATATGCTGCGGTACTCTGTTCAGATTTTGTCGATTGTTTCGACGTATCCATGCAAGGATACTTCATGTTTTTCATTCAGCAGTTTTGCTAGAGTTGTTCTCAAGTATCTTATTGTTAGAATGCGATTTGCTCATCAGAGCGATTCGACTGCATAGATATTAAAGATATTGAACATCTCAATTGCATTAGTCCCCTTTTACGTGCATCTCTAATTGATTCAGGCTGATTATAATATCACTGAAGAGCTTCTCACAGAAACAATCAGGTACCGTTCCTGATAAATCCTTATGCTCTAATGTCCAGCAAAAGCAAAAGTTCCAAATTCGAACTTATTTCGATGAAACAGTTTCAGTGATACAATGTCAAATAGTTGATCAGAGATCAAAACATTTTACGGTGATGTTTACTCAATACATTGGAATTTCGCAATAGGCTTCTACATGCGCTCTGTCAAAAAACGTCAAACGACGTTCCATACTTACAATGCTTTAAACACGCAAGTGTACACCTACGCACGCTCGCATCCGAAGCATGACACTCGAGATTCATGAACCATCTGCATCTCTATTTTCTTGTATATTCCCATGCTGTTTTCCCTCTCACTAATCTTCGCACTGCTATTTCGACAATTTTCGGCTTGATGACGAAAGCAAACCCCCCGCCTGTCCATCGATTTTCAGCCACCATGATGGCTTAAATTGCATTTAATCAAGCTACAATGACTGTACGACTCTTTTCATTTTTTGATATTCATTAGAGTCATTATACCTAGTTTTTTCCAATTTCGACTATTAGCCGGAGGGAGCAGAATTATTCCTGAACTCTGTTCGACGCAAAATTTTTTCCTCCATTGATATTGCAATTCACCTGCTAGTAGTGTGGCAAAATAATATGAATACGCTCTGTTAATCTGATCATAAAGATGTATTTTATGATCTATCAGTGATATTTCATCGATTGTCAATGGTACCATAACAATTGATCAACACAGATTATACACTGTGACTATTTCGCTTATAACATTCATAATTTCATTCAGTCATCGTTCATTCTTGTCGTTTTGTTTAGTGTGATGAGTTTGTGTGGCGTGTTGGCTGTTATTTATGATTTTATTCCGTTCATGCTTTTTCTAGCATAATTTATCATTGCGTCAGAGATATTTTGGGTTCATCTATCTACCTATATTAGTACCATAGCCTTTCAAAGGTCGGTGACTGTATAGATTAAGGGAAGATATAATATGGGGGCAGGTTTCGATAAAGAGATTGGTAGGAAAGATCGTTCGGGTCCTGTTTTTGAATTCAGTTTGAATCCTGAAATATGGCAGCATTTGCAGTTTAGATGAAATCTTATTAAATCATTACCATCGCTATATTTGTTTAGAACGTTGATAACGTGTGCGAATAATTTGTTAATACGAAAGGTGTTATCAATAAGAATCGTACTGAACTGCATATGATGAAGACGGCGAGTTAATCATTTAATATCGTTTCAGATGTGCACACTTATGAATTGAGTGAGCCAGTGAGCGAGCGAGCGGATTACGGTAAGCGTCATTGGTAGCGAGCCTCATCGTGATTGGTCGTACTTATTGGCAACGAACTACGGTAAGGAAGGTAGGGAATTGGATCATTTTTGTGATGATTTAATTTGTTATTTGGTGCTTTGAAATAACTTTATAGTCAAGCAATTTTGCTAAATTGCCCGATCTAACGTGAATCTAGCGTATATTCAGTGAGTATGGTGTATCGCATGAATATTCAATGGTAGATGTGTTGATGTAGGCTATCGAATAGTTTGTCGAAATGATGCATGATCTTGATATCATTATAGCGTTGTTCAATTACAGATGGAATGTCTGTGGAATGCGTTGACGCTGACTTCGACCGAAGTTGGGACACGAAGATCGATGGTCGGTGGTCAGATGGCGTTTGGTGGTCATGGTGTTGACAACAACAGTCACAATAAGATGAAATCAAGGTGCGTGACATCTGATGGATGACATCAATATGCAATACGATATCAAAATCTTATACGAATACGACAACAGGACATATACAATGATCCAATACGNCGAAGTGCAAGGTTAGGAGTTTCAATTTTCAACTTAGGGACAGCAAAATAAAATTGAGTCGTGGTCAGTGACCACTTTTTGAATGCTTAATTTTTTTATTCATTCGTTCAATTGTAAATTATATGTTTGTAATTTACATGTTTCTATATGTTATAAATTGCTCTTAAGTCGTACTTTTTGTATGTATCCAACCCACTGAGAATAGGAGACAATACGGTGACACATATTATCGTGTATTGCATTATGATATAAAACATTATTTTCTGTCGAAATGTGTTATGCGATGCTAAAGATATTCAGGTTGCATCGTATTTTACAACTGGGGGGTTTTTTAGTGACTTTCAATTCAGATGTTAATATCATTGCATTGTATCATTGTTATTAGTGTTCATTGTAATGTATTTCGGTCACTGTATTGTCACATGCTGAGAAGTTTAGGGGACATTAAACTATCGCTATCAATCATTTCTCGAAAGCATCCACATCTTTCTGCTACCTTTTAGGATGGGATCTGGACGAGACAGTGGTTTTCTCCAAATATTTCAGTCTTATTAAATTT